TCAGCAAGCCATGAGGAGGGACCCCCAGGTACACACCCAGTGTGCAAATATCCTAGCTCTTGATGAGCCTGAATCATCTCTGTCCACTGGGCACAGAGAAATTAGGGCTTTTGAGGGCCAATATTTTGGAGTATGTTCAAGAAGTGTTTTGGTTCCCCTTCTGACTTTGAATAGGTGTTGATGACAATAAAAATGGAGGACCACAAGGTACTGTTTTTCATTACAGTTCGGTTGCCACGTCCCTGCTGTGTGTGAATTCTGGCTACTGTTCAATTCTGAAGTTGGAGTGTAGTCCAACTAAATTCTCTGTTGTTATTGGACAAGAGCAGTCCAGCTCATTGGTGTTGACAGCATGGTGAGCTAAGGGCAGCAGAGTGTTGATGACAATAAAAATGGAGGACCACAAGGTACTGTTTTTCATTACAGTTCGGTTGCCACGTCCCTGCTGTGTGTGAATTCTGGCTACTGTTCAATTCTGAAGTTGGAGTGTAGTCCAACTAAATTCTCTGTTGTTATTGGACAAGAGCAGTCCAGCTCATTGGTGTTGACAGCATGGTGAGCTAAGGGCAGCAGAGGCTGAGGATAGAAGGAGGAAGGAGGAGGGTTCAGTCTCTCATCCACTGAGATTCCCTGGGTCAGTATCATCTGTGGAGAGAGCTGTCTGCTGTCCACACTGATTATGCTCTGAGGTGCTGCAGAGAACAAGGAAATATAAAGCCCAGGTCAGCCCTCAGCAAGCCATGAGGAGGGACCCCCAGGTACACACCCAGTGTGCAAATATCCTAGCTCTTGACGAGCCAGAATCATCTCTGTCCACTGGGTAGAGAGAAATTAGGGCTTTTGAGGGCCAATATTTTTGGGTATGTTCAAGAAGTGTTTTGGATAGAGGTCCTTGTTCATGATATTATTTTTCTGTGTATTTTCAGAAGTTACCGATGACAATTCACTCGCAGGTATTTCAGCTTTATGTAAACTCTTTATGTAGCTTTGCACGTGCTTTGTTTTTCATCTTAGCTCATCCAATAACTAGATGGAGGACCTCCGACCAATCCTGACCATATCCAACATTTCAGCCACAGTTGGGTGCTTTAAGAAATCTTGGTCTTAATTTCAGCTAGAATTTGTATATAATTGTTAAAATTTTAAAGAAACATGTTTAAGGAGAAAGCAGTTTTGAATCGAGCATCTCCAAAGTAGAGTGATTTGAGCTCCTCTGAGTGCAGAGGAGAAGGCTTTGATAGGGTGGACTCAGAGGCAAGCCAAAAAAAAAAAAGAAGTTGATTGATGGACATAGTGCAGTGGCTTTCTTTGGATCATCTTAGTGGAATATCCCTAGTTAGGGATTAGTTGGTAACTTGGGATTGAGATCATTCGCACTGAGTTGTGTTTCAATTTGCTTATTTCTTAGATCCCAGAGTAATAAATCAATTTAATGACCTCCTCATTACTTATTAAAACAAATAAAACTAAGGATCTTCTGAATAGGTGTTTTATAACATGCCCTACTAAAAAAAGATACTGTGGCTTGTATTGTCTATGCATTCTTTTCTTTCTTTCACTATATATATATATATATATCTGTACATATATATTATATGTGTATATATGTATATATATATGCACATAGTTTCATAGAGCCTTTCCAACTATATCATCACTTTCTTTTCACAAAAATATGCAGTGATCTTCATGTGCCCAATATGATGTTATTGGGGGTTTAGAGGACCCCCCAAAGATAACATTTTTAGGGATCAGCAAAAGCAGCCTGAGAGCATGTTTTCCTCATTTCTGTTCTTATTCGATTCTTTCTCTACCTCACTAAAAATGCCAGGAGAGGTCAGTGCCCCTCCCTGATGGAATTTCTTCACTATTTCTTACAGGAAGATTTTC